ATCTGGCTAATCGATGATCCTTCCCTAACATCCAGTCTACAGTCGCTAGCCCATCGTCGGGAAGTTGCTTCATTGTCCTCGTTCTACCTTTACTACTTTGGTTTTCGTTCTTCGGAACTTGCCTCGGCAGTTCCTCTTCTTGCAACGTTTACCCGCTCAGCCCGTACAAGGCATTTAATCATTCTTATCAGGTTTCTGTCCCTCTGCTCCAATCTTCTTTTTGCCCCGAACTGCCAAACTGTGGAACACCCTCCCCCTTGTTGTTCCCCCCCAACTTACAATCTTACACTCTTTGAACGCAGAATCAATAAACTGGATCTTAAGGGAATGTTCCTTTACTGTTCCCTTTACAGTATGCTATTTGCTCATGGGGACTTCCCCGTTTACTGTAATTCACCTTGTGTAATAAAAAAAGTGTAGCGGCTAAATAGTTCATATTCCTTGTTAAGAGATTCATCAGTCTAACTCTAAATTCATTTGCGATTAGTAGTCCCAATAGAAACCTGATTACTGTGCCGTCTCTTTGATAATATATACAGTTAGTGAATTGGAATTCAATGACATAAGGTCCGACTTATAGTAACCGATTTGATTATTCGATATGTAGGCGTTCAGCAGTCCACTCATCGCATTGATAGGTATGTTTGCAAGGCATTCGCTTTCCGACCGAATTTATGTCCCGAACAGTGTCTATGAAACTGAAGGTGTATTTCTGTATTTCGCCATTTGCATTTGAACCGCTAACATAATCCGTGCAAAACTTTTTGCCACGGTGCGCGGTACACAGTTGCACATGTGCAGAATTGGTTTAAGGGATTACTCTGATCATGCACTCTTGGCATTTCGTACAGCCTATTAATCGTTTTCGTTGGTTGAATCCACAGGAACGTCGCTGCATCTACGTTTCCTCCTACTCTCTTGTAGACCTCGTATTTTGTTCGACGATGATTGCTCCAGTCGAGTTGTCTTGTGTTTTTCCCCAAGCGCTATTCTTGAAACTTTAATCCGATCAATTGAGTGCCCAAGACTTTGCAGGACGACATATTTTGTGGTATAGCACAGGATCCCAGTTCACATGTTCTATCGTTTTGAGCGAGCAATTAAAAAAGTTGCGTTTTCAAACTTCGTTATACCCCCGTCATCATCATCTTTGGGGTAAAGGAAGCTTCAATCTGCAATGGTTAATGCCTATCACTAATGCCAGAATAAGGGGTGCATAACAAGAAAACCATTGAGAGCAACGCTTTTGAATCGCCGAAAACATATATATATTTATTTATGGTGGTGGCCCAGTGGTTTAGTTGATGTCACTGGTGTGCTTTGGACTCTTTAGTCCGAGGTTCGACCCCACCACCGCCACCCAACTTTGGTGGTAGACGGCTTTGCTGTCGTCCGGTTCAATACCACACCTAACCTATCTGGGCCTTATGTGGTTCACTACTCCAAGTCACGTGGCTTAGGTTCCCGGTTTCGATCACTAAAAACAACAGGTCCTCGTGACTATTGGGTTTACTCCGTCTGCCGTTCCTCACACGGAAGTGTTTAATATATATATTCGGAGACCAGGTAAATTCTTCTTAGCGCATTTGACTGTGACAAAAATAAATGCCAATGGTTCCAGGTATTATGACCGAAAAATAAAAGAAGCCGAATAGAAAAATGTGACAAGTATGTGGGAAACAGAGATTAATAGTAAATCTAACAACATTCTAATACATTCGACAAGCAAATGAACAACAGATCATTCGATATGTAACGAGTGATAACCAATTTGTGGATATAAGGGAGATGGAGATTATTGTAACCGCAATGGAAATAGCAAAGGCTTCGGGTGGTTCGTAGAAAAGAACGAACAGCCTGATTGAGTTTATTGATTTGTGACAGTTTTCTTCCATTACTTTAAATATTTTCCGTTTTTTTGTTTTGTTTTTCTTTCTTCTTGAACTGTAAGAAACTGTCTGACAATCTCGGTATCCAGCCTCTCGATCCATGATCTGATCATGTGTTTTCAGTTGAATTTCTGATGTTCTCTTGTTGTGGGGGAGTAATAGATCCTTGTAAAAGGCCTCCGCTTCGCATCACTCGCTGCCTGATTGGGTTTTTTTTTCTTATCAAAGTAAAAGCTTTGATTAAGAATGCTAGTCGTTTTGTTTAGTGGTTGAACTACCTAGCAGTACTTATCCATCAAAATTGAATAACTATAATTCAAACTATAAAGTCGTTTTATTGTATTCCGCTGTATGGCGATGATGTTTTTGACTTGTCTGAATTTCTACCCCACTAGAGTTTAGCAAAAGTATTGGTAAATTGTTAAATATAAATATTACGGGCCTAAAAATACTGCTCATATTTTTCGATAACGCAGACTGATTAAATACGCGTCCCTGTGAGAGTACACAGATAATGGATATCGATGAATTTCCCCATTACATACTTAGCTTTTGTGCTTATTTTGCCAAGTAATCCTCACATTTGAAGCGATTTACCTATTATTGCTCTCGGTATTTTCTACTTTGCCGCAGAACTATCCGGTTGAGGTTTTGAGTCCGGCGCAGCAGGAAATCTTACAACACATGCGTGAACTAGGCTTAGCCTATCAGAGTAAACGCACCTCACCACGTTTCTATGTGACCCAATTGGCTTTGGGTTTGGCCAGTGGTCATACAGGCCGTTCAGACCCATCTGCACCGGTTCCAGGATGCACATCTGGGGCAATTCCAACGGGTGTTACTGCCCCGGATCAGTCGGACGGAGCGTCTATGCTTTCCCGTTTGTCTGCTACTAGTTCGTCTGATGTGGGTTATATACTGCTGGAAACCAATTTCAGGCTGTACGCTTACACAGGTTCGTCATTTTGTGTTACCCTCCACAGACCTAGGGTTTGTATTAACCTCACCCCACAGTGTTACGCATCGTACGAGCGTGTGTTGTAGTTGTGAATTGGTTGACTCAATTGTTGTTTGTTCAGTAATTCCGGTTTATAGCATGCATATTACCACCCTGCATTTTAATGTTGTATAATATGAAGGTGGTGTGGATTTTTATTTGCTATTTTAGTCACAAAATCAATATTCCTACGGTTTTTATAAGAGCTTTTCTAAATCCAAGTTAAAATATCCTATACAATGATAAATTCTAAAAGTTATTACTATCAGATTGGTCCCTGGCATAAACTTCTAAAACCAATGTTTATTTTGTTCCATAAGTCGTTTCTACAATTGCCTCTAAGAAGTACAAATGCTATTCATTCTCGCACTAATAAAAAAGAAATTTATTCATATTTTATTACATACCATTTTTCATGAAAACCAAAGTAGTTGAACTCGGTAGTCATTAGTGACTCAATCTGTTCATTCATGCTAAACAGCGTGGGACTTCGAACTATGAACCACTTAAGGGCCAAATAACAGGCGTAGTATTGTTCCGGACGCCAGAGAAGCTGCCTAACACCAAAGTCGAGTGACACTGGCGGGGTTGGCCCTCGGACCTTAGAGCTCAAAGCAAACCAGTGGTGATCACTTCGACCATTTGACCACCTTGATATGGATAGTATTCGGGTTCACATAATGTGTAGGGGTTCCACAGTTCAAGTTCCCAGTAGAAATTCGAGCCTAAAGTCAACAAAAAGACAGAAAGAATTACGCTGAAATCGGAATCTGTTTTCCTTCCAATTCACGTTTGTAGCATGGGCACTTACCATACTCTGTTTTCTGCTTTTTCCTTTAGACTCCCATTTGAGAACCGCGTTATTGAGCTTGTTCAGCAAAATTCGTGCACGATTCCCCAATCTCGTTGTGGCAGATATAACACGTGACTCGGTTCGCGAGGCTCTGATTCGTGGAATAACTGCCGATCAGGTACACGATAAGCTGTGTGGGTTTTGGTTTCGTAAGCAATGGTTCAATTACAGAGGGCACTTAAAGTCAAAGTTTTATAATGGGAAATACTCACAAGCGGTTGCTTTTCTAGCCCCATAGGGTTTAGCCCAAATAAATCGATTCACAGTTGATACAATGTAGATGAATGTCACAATTTGTCCTTGTTTCGTGCACCTCTACGGATGTTGAAATTTAAGACTTTTCAAAGCTTCATCCAATTTGTGCTTGAATGAATCAATTGTGGGCGCAGAGACAACGTGTGGTAGTGGAGAATTCCAAGTAATGCCCCACTCTGAGGGCGAATGAATGACGCCGGCNGTGCCCCCGCAGGTGATTGTTGGGTGGCAAGGAAAAAAGTGGACGACATGGATGGTCTGGGTTCTGCATTATTTGGTATACCAAGATCAAGTCTCCTCGAATGCGGCGATACTGTGTGGAGTACAGTTACAGTGCTTCCAGTCTTTCCACATAACTCTTGGAATGCAGTCCTTTGACCATTTTGGTAGCCATTCTTTGTGGACGTTCCGGTATCTTCTGATCGCGCTGCAGCCATGGATTCCATTTTTGAATGGCGTACTCTATGTGGGGTCGAATGTGGGCTGATAACAATCGTGGGAACAGCGTAGGTTCAAGTTCGCCAAATACTTGTTTAAGCA